GAATATTTCTGCAAATAAAATGAAACCCGCCCCTCCTGTCAGTGCTCAATATCCCATAATACTGTTAGATTCTGACATATTTGCAATTACAATGTGGGCATGGGGTCTCCATGCTTTTTCTCGGACATGTCTGTCCCCTGAATGACACGAGAGCGTTGAAACCTGCGCTTTGCTTTTACTGTGTGCAAATGGGACATTAGGCTTGTCTTTCTTTTTCTATTCCCCTCCCCCTCGGAGCCTGACATCATTTATATCTGTCATCCCCTACAAACAAGACGTGGGGTATACACACATTGATATATGGCGGAAAAAAAGCAAAGTGTAGCAATTCCTCTGCAAGCTATTGGATTCCTAAAAAGTGTGTTCATAGATAGATTTTATGATGATTACGGTAATTATTGTGGAGTTATCGGTCTTCTTTAACTCGAGATTATGTTCTAATGTTTCAGTCACTTTGCTCTTGTTTTGTTGTTAATTTAAGTAAAAAAAATCCATTACGTGGCCATGCCTAATATTTCCAGTTTAGCCCTGTGTGTGTGTGTGTGTGCGGGTGTTAAATCAGTTGACTAATTAAGTGGTTTATAATTTAGCCACAAGTCTATCCAAAAGCTCTTGGCCACGAAGGCGGCATATAGGTGCACATTGAAGCAGGGTGTTCATTTAAGACAAGCAACAGCCTCTGTAGATACATTTATGTCAGTGTTAATTTAGCTGATGTCAGTGAGCATGTTAGTGACATTCACACAGACTGAACTTGGAGTGTGCCAGTCTATTGTCTTACCTGTGGTGAAGAGCACAATTGCCTTTAAGCAGCTATATTCAGCAGAGTCAACGTGCAAAACTTTGAGCTTCTCCACTTGTTCTTGGAAGATCCTAATGTGGTCCATAAAGGCCACCACTCTGTCCGCAGACATGGGGGAGGCGTGAAGGCCAGCCGCCGCCAGGAGAGGAGCCACGTGCAGGGGCATGGAGCACTGCGCGGCGTTGAGCACAAATAACTCACTCCACGTCAACCTCAGCAGAGCCACCTGGTCGGTGATCTGAAGGTCTGGGAAGAAGGGAATATTCCTGGCCCACTCCACGGCGCTGAAGAGCATCCTGGCTGCTAGTTCACAAATGTTCTCGATGCCCATTATGTTGTTGGGCTGCATGCACTGACTGCCATACCGGGACGTCGGGTAGGGCTCCGCTCTCAACAGGAGAGAGATATATCCGGATAAGTAGGAATGGCAGTGCAGTGGGTCTCCATTTGTCAAGGCGAACTGACCGTGGTGTGGCTGTGTGGGTGGCACCCGTCCCCTTTGCACGGCTGCAGTAAAAAGAGAAACTACAGATATTGAAGCCTGAATTCTACAAATCATCACACAATATCCTCATGGGCTTAGAGACATGCTGTTAAATATTATACATTTTAACTGGGCAGAAAAACGGAATCAAACGCTTACAGCTCTTATGATAAATAAATGACACACATGTTTTTTTATATAACATCATAACAGACACACACACACACACACACACACACACATTATGTTATTGCATGGGAGTTTAAAAAAAGGCTGCACAGACAATATTGAAGCTGTAGGGAGACAAATCATGTAATGAAACACCAGAGATGCCCCTTAAAACACGTTTAACACAAGACATGCATATGTCTTTAAAATGATGCTTTTCGGCAACAGCAACATGAGCTGGCTGTGAAGGAACACAAAGAGGGCAAGGGAGACCTTGCATGTTTAACCCTTAACCTACTTAGCAATTCATCTCGTTTTACCATACATGCAGGCCTATTTTCGATTGATATTCAAATAAATTCTTAGGATTATGTGCGCATAATTCACGCTAGTGTCCAGCTTTAGACACAGCGAACGAGGCAGACGCGGTAGATGTGGAGATGTAGCCTGAACACGCTATCTCTTAATTCGACACTCGCCATAATAGCGCAGAAGGCTATATTGTATCATTGAGTACAGATGTATCTCTGCGCTCATGGCGTTATCTGAATATACATTTGATAGCCCTCGCATGGCCAGGGGTCGGATCTTGTATGTGAAATGCGGAACTATGGAGCGCTTGAGCCGGATACTACAATACAGCGGCTAAAAGGCAGAACCGACGAGCCCCGTCTCGACCACGGCGGAGAGCGGCTCCATTGCGTGCTGCTGCCGCACAGCCGGGGAGAGAATAGTCGGGAGAGAAGACATACTACGGTGGCGACATAACACGGTTTCATGTCTGGAAGCCTAAAAGCACATTCACACAAATAAATAAGAAAACAAAAAGTCCCAATACCTTCCCGTCTCATGCCGACTTTCAGGCATTTTTTGAGGCGGCAGTACTGACACTGATTGCGGTGGTGTTGGTCGATTGGACAATTCCTGTTGGCACGGCATGTATAAGTGAGGTTCCGTCGTACGCTCCGTTTGAAGAAGCTTTTGCACCCCTCACAAGTGAACTGGCCGTAGTGTTTGCCGCTAGATTTATCCCCACAGACCACACATTCAATGTGCTGTGGCTGCTGTTTCTCCGATTGCTGCGTCGTCTGGTTCGTCGGCGTGGACTGTGTGTTGTTCGGGGGTCCTTGGATCGGCGTCTGAGGGGTCGGAGGGGCGACCTGAGAGGCTGTCAGATTCAACTGGCCCGGTTGAGGGGTGGCAAGAGATAGTCCTCCTTGGGTTTGCGAGGAAAGGGTGCCTTGGGTGTCAGCCACATCGTCCTGGGAGCCTCTCCACACTACCATTGCCATATCTATCAGTCAACGTAAAGAAACTTTTTGTCTGCCGTTTTGGTGTCGCGGTGAATAATGTCTCAAGGAAACGCGGTAAACTGTGACTAACAGCCGGACACACAAAATGTCAAATCTAGCCTACGTTGAATCCACTCAGAATCTCCCGAAAACTGTCGATTTATTGCTGTTGGAGACGTTGCGAAGCACGTTTTCAAAACTGATGCGATGGCGAGCTGAGTCGCTGCCTTGCGCTTAAAGGCCAAGTCCAGGGGCGCTTACAGTCAGCCATCCAGTACACCCATCAATGGGAAATGTAGGCTAAATATTAAAATAATCAGCCGAGGTAGCATGGACTATTCAGTGAATGATGGAGCAGGTTTGGAGAGACCGTGCCTGCAGCAGCATACAACAATTGGTGAGCACACTGTAGCAGCTACTATCAAGTTCCAGCACAAGTCTTGAAGAAAATCACCAACTGGGTAAAAAAAATCGCGTCTTCTTCCTTTTTCTTCTTGTGAGGTTGCGCCAGCAAAGCGCGCAGCTGAAGCCAATGCTTTTTGGGAGAGCCTGGAATATGAAGACAACTCTCCCCAAAAAAAGCAAAAGCACCAAAAAACCAAAACACAAAAAAACAAAGATCGCAACCTACAAACCTCACTCCGTGCACTGAAAAATAATAGGAAAAAGGAGTAAAGAAACAAAGTGATCAAATATGTTAAAAAGGCGGAGGTTAGGAAGTGATTTGCGATTGGTAGGAGCCGGGCTGGCAGAATGCTTTCTCTCTGATCAGCTCACTGAGCTCTCTATATAGTGAACTTTGACACGACTGCTGCAACTTAGCACACGTTACCATGGAGATCGGCTGCCATATAAGGAAGGAGAGTGTGTTTGACTGGTCAGAGCTCAGGGACCTCCCCCTGAACCTTATTGGCTAGTCGGCACTTGTGCTACTTGGTACCTTGCCAGAGCCAGCATGGAGGTCGAGAGGGCCGCTTGGTCCTAAAACGAGACGTATTTCGGGAAGAGGAATCCTTTCTATTCACTCAAATAGCTCAGTTTATAGAATATACTGATATTACCAGTACAACTTTGGCAAACTGCATGAGGAAAAACACACAGTCTAAATTCAGTGCCTTATATCGCGTTACAGTATATCCGTAGCCGTATAGCAAGCTGAAATATCCAGATATTTCGTCCCTGAGACACAGGTGCACCTTTTGGAACAGGCTCTGTGCTCATTAGCCACTATAAAACTGTCTATCTATTGGGCCATAATCTTCATCCTTTAAGCAAGTGGATATAAAAACAGAGTACAAAAATACACATCTTAGTAGAAAAACAGACAAAAACAAGACACTCAGACTGCATGATGCTCTAAATGAAGATTGGGGACATTATAGGATAATTGTGAATAAAACAGCATGAAGACTCATGTGGTCAATGCACATATAGTTTAGACTAAAGCCATACGCATAAAAGGGTCACACAAAAAAGCTATGTCATCTGAATTTCCACATTTTTCTCCACGATCCTATATTTGTACAGGGTAATATACCTATTAGCGCATCTATTCACACCATGTACCATTCATCAGCATCCACACCTCTTGTAAAAATGTTATGATAGGCTACTGACATCATCTGGACACCCGGTGCAGCCTGCTAATCCCCCGCCGCAAACATCCCTAACACACCAGGTCAGAAAGGCCATATCTGGGTCTCAAAAGTCAAAGCTTTTTTTCTTTATGTGGTCAAAACGTGAAACGACTACAGCTTTAAATAGGGACTACATTTAAAATGTCCTTTGAGGTCAAAGGCCATGCCCTTCACATTAAGGTTAGGATGAAAGTTAACCCACTTCCTGATAAACAACATGATAAAATCTGGTGTGGTCATTTAGATGCTTTACAATGCCTGTCAGATGTTGCCTTATAATAAAGATAATATACAGTTTGGGATGATGACAAACACAGTGAGGGATACCTTGCATGCAAAACGGGGTCAGTGGTTGCCCTGAGTTTCTGCCCACAAGATTAATATTATTTTAAGGCTTGAAGGCTATTTAAACAGCAGTAAAGAAAAGGTGTACTTAATGCCCGGAGGCTATTGAAGTTGAAATGCAGGTAAAACTTCACGGAGACATACAGATGAATCTATAGCCTGAGCCGTGTCTGTGTCCACAGAGAGAGCAGCAGCAGCAGCAGCATGCATTGTCCCAGGATGTTTTACAGTATATGGGTGCCCCCTAGCGTATGAAGATCTTGCTTCAAATGAGATTCAATTTAGAGGAGCCATCCGACACGGAAACCGCTTCAGTCTCTTCTCCCGCATCGACCAAACTAACGAGCACCATTTTATACTGATGACTGTTTGTTTAAATTCTGTTTTACATGACTTGGACGGCAAATCTTTGAGAGTTGCCAAAGTTGGATTTACTTTTTGCCACTTCAGGCAGTCCCTGCGGTGGTATTTAGAGCAATTATTTCTTTATTCTAAAACAAATGAGCCAATTACATTTAGTCTGCATTACTATTTTGTCGGTTTTATTTACAGAAGTCGTGAAAATGAAGAGCCTGACAATAAAAACACTCCGAAACGTATTCATTTATCGAGGATCCAGCGTCCTTTAAATGGTAAGTATACATTTTGCACACTTTATTGGGATAAATCGGCAAATTGCATTGCTTTATTTCTCAGCTCTATATTAAATTATTGTTTAAATAAGCGGGCAGGATTATCTGTTGAAATAAAAGACATACTGCTGCAGAGAGAGGATATTGTAGCGTATACATATGGGGTACGATGTTTCTATGCGCGTCGGTCATTTTCGGTTATTATCCAAGTGTTCATTTCTAAGAGGATCACAATAAGCCCCACTACTTTGCAAATATCCATTAATTACGTTATTTGATAGTGACAGAGAGGCAGGAGGCTGTATTCTTATAGTAACAGACCTACCAAATGCATACGTTGCTTCGTCCGTAGCGGGATGCATCTTCTCTCTCTCTTTCAGAATATATGTTGTCTTCTCTTTTTCGACACAGTGCTGCGAATGAAACTGGCAAAGCTTCCGCTCCAACAGACGGTATCAAACACAAAAATAACACGCTGTTTATTGGAAAATTTGGCAAATGCCTTATCATGCAAAAACTTTGGATAGCCGGAACAAACAACTGATTCACGTCATGTGTTGTTCAGCGAGGAGTTGGAAATATAAGTTGACGTGTCTTCCGAGCAGAAGATCATTTGACTGCCTCTGGAAATGATAGGTAGGCTTTACAGCAAAGCAGAGATCCTGTGCGCCTTTTCTCGCCTACCGTGATATGGCCAAAAAGCGCTTGTACGCCGCTGCTTTGTGTGGGCTATGAGGAGAGAGGGTGGGGGGGGAAGTCAGAACAGACACCTGTCTTTAAGTGTGGCGGGCAGGCATTGTGAGATTCTGCATATTACTAATTATATTGCAGATTGGAAGTAAAGACGCAATAAGACCTGTGATTAAGAGCTGTAATTAAAAACTGCCCAAATTTTAATTTATTGTAAAAAAAAATCATGTGCTTAAATGGAGCCTATAAAACAGCAGTGACTATTGTGATATTAGTATCCTTATTACTATTAATTGGCTTTAATTAATATGAACAATTACAGTATATCACAATAAATAAAGATAAGCGTTTAAATAAATAATATCTGTTGTTTTTACAGCTACACCTCAAAGCAATAATACATTATGCAGATAATAAGAACGCCTTTTTAATGAAATGACAATAGCCTCATTTAACCTCGCGTGAATCTGTATTGTGTTGAAAAATTCAGCACCTTTTTCAACTCAAACATTTCCACATCAACACAATGTATTTGCTACTAAGCGACCTCCAAAAGTCTTGTGCTGCAGTTTTTATTTCCCGGTTTTAAAAGTTTCCTCTGTGTGATGAGTAGTTGTTCTCCTTTCAAGCAGAGGATAAAAGCACTATATGCTCAGCAAGCCTGCATGAACACAACAATAGCGCTGCCCAACGAGACCAGTATCGATTAAGACGAGACAGAGGATGTCGCCTGCACTAAATATTTACTGATCACACACACAAATAGCTGGATCTTTAACGATTTCCCATGCTCCGGCTGGGAGAAAGGACTAAATCACTTTATTATTGTTAGTAAAACAAAGCACACGCTCTGGAACACAGGAGTGGAGATGTGCTGATTGGGATAAGTGCAGTTAAATTAATCGATAGTGAGTAGATAATAGTTGAGATTTACGGGCGTGGAAAGAAAATGCTTTCACTCATGTATCAGGTTAAAACTGACGTGTACTGCCATTGGTAATTCTTCTTATACGCCAACGCGCGCGCACTGGTCAAAATGGGGAAAAGGCAACAGATTGTTTCACCGTGACAAGCGTTACGATCTTGCATATTAATCCGACCATTAAAACAAAATTTGAGATAGAGGATCTAAAAAAAAAAAGGATCGTTTGCGGCAAGAAATCCTTCTCACACTTGTGTAAAAAGTCATAATCATAAAAGACATTTAATCTCCTCTCTGCCTTCACCAAGTTCTTCATGCAGATAGGGGGGTATGACCCGGAGGTCTCCAGAGTTCCCGGCCTGATTAACCCCTCCAGACCCGCGCAGTAGCAAATGTTAACCAGGCTAATCAACTTCAAGAGTCTGATTGAATTAGATGACTGTGGAATCAGCAGAGAAACTAAATTCTCTTTAAGAAAAAAACATACCATGAAGAGAAATGGTTTTGACTATTGTGTCAATTAACATAAACTATTAAAACAAAAAAGAATAAAGGAATTACAGAAAATATGATTTTGTTAACAGGAAACACGTTTCAGTTGTTTTTTAGAATACAATTAAACAGCAAACTATCAATATTGAAAAATCTCTGTAACAGCCACAAATTATTTTCTTCTGCTTGATAAAGATTACTTGAGCGATGGTGGTTGAGCCCATATGTCATAGTAGTTTTATCTGCTGCATTGCATAATATCAATCAGTACCCTCTAGTAAAGGCTTTATCCCTGCTCTCTTTATAGCAGCACTTCATTGTTCTGTTGCTTATAGGCAAAGATAAAAAAAACTAGTCCAATTAGTCAAATGTGTGCTTGTACATTTGCCTTCATTTAGGTAACCATATTTGCTGACATAAATAAAGTTTCAAAAAGTTACTGTCGACTCATCTAGCAAAATAACCAAAAGGAGAAATATAATTAACATAAGCAGAATCTTCTCATATCAGGAGATATTAACATTTCCATTTTAATGGCACAACATATTTGACAATTGTGTGTGCGTAATTTATTTATTTGTTTTACATATAAGTTTCATGCCGCTGTGTTCTTAGAGCATATGGTATCTTTCGATTTGACTTTCTTTCTTGGTGGTTGAATCCTTGACTCTTAAGCATGGCTTTTACAGACTTTAATGACAAAAGTATGACTTGTCCTTTCAATTATATTCCTGTCTTTTTGGTTTCCTAATAATATGTAATTACAGAAAATAGCAATGCATTATCACAATTAAAAAATCATATTATTGTAAATATGGTGTGTGTGTGTATGATTTGATTGTTTGCATGCACATATAAGCTATACAGAGGCACGTACTGTATACAGTGAGAGAAAAATGTGCATAACATTCACCTTTTAATGCTTCAGTGTTAGCAGACATACATGTCTTAGATGAGACATAAAGAGTTCATTCAGTGGCGTAGATCACTTTCACTCCGTCTGTGTGCCCCAGGGGCCGCTATCTAAAAAGGCAATAGATCCCAGATAGCTCACTGTGTTCAATTTGCCAATGATAGATTATAGTGCCAATTTAAACAGATAGGGATCAATTTGTCTCAATGATCACTCTTTAGGCTGACTGCCAGCATGCTCTTAATGTATTTGTAAATGCTGAATCGCGGCTGTTAAAGTGATCAAAACTGTAGAATGGAGAGATGATATGAGAAATGATAAATGATGTGTTGTTTTGGCTGCTGAAGACTGCATTGATGGAGCACACGTGATGATTACTTGAGGCAGCAGCATTGCAGCAGCAATGACCAAAAGGTCAATGGTTTAACTCCAAGGACTCGCTGGGAAAGTCTGGGTGGGGGAATTGTGTGATAAGTGCTCTCTAACCCTCAGGAACTACTGCTGAAGTACCCTTCGGCAAAGCAGCTTAAACCCCATCTGTCCCAGTGGAGCTGCACAGCGACCGGCAGTACAAGACTGCGGTTGTACCGGGAACTTGTGAGATGTGTCTCTTTGAGAGTGACCTACCTCCGCTTTTTTTCTTTTTAAAAGACGGAGAGTGGGCAGTCCACTCGCCTCACACTTTTTTTCTTCCATGTACTCAGACAGTGAAAAGTTTTGAAGACACAAGAGAGAAAGCTGTGGCAGCCTTCAGTCCTGAGCCAGACACAGTTCACATGTGGCCCCAAAGGCAGCAGACGGTGTATTGAATTACTGTAACTCAAGGTGTAATGTGGTAGCAGTGTGGGATATGTAAGAATTACACAAACGGAAGTAGAGGCGGCTTACTTCAGCTTCAGCTTTCTATCGCAGCCATAAAATGTTGAATTGTGTTTATTTTCTTAAATTTCAGCCGTAACCTTTCATTGGCAAAAATAGCAGCCACACTTTCTACAGTGATAATCAATGTCTCATTATCATTAGATTTACCAATTACATCGAACTGCTATTTAGAAATACAAGGTTTATAAAAGTAGGAGAAACAACTTCAAACCCTGCATGGATCGACCCATGAATGCATGGTGGGTAAACTTAAAAGCATATTATCTGCTGTGTATAATTGCAATTTGCAATGTCACACCTGCTACAGCTATGACTAATACAGTTTTAAGACCTCATATGAGCTGTGTTTTAACTGATTTTCTTTATACTATTACTATTGTTGAGCACTTTCATTTCAATAATATATTTTTCCAGTTTTACCAGGATAGTTACTGTACATGTGTAAATTAAGCTTTCTTTCTTTCACTAGAACTATTGTTTCAACTGTATGAGAGACACAAAGATGACAGCACTCATGTATCCTGTATTTCAAACTAGCTGAAATTACCACAGTAACATAATATATCAGTTACTTCTTCCAGTTCCATGCCTAAAGACTGCAGGCTTAGAAATCGATCGAGCTAAGATGTTTGCATTTCTCCGTGAAAGTGTTGCAGATATACGGTGCATTGTATAACTATGAACAAAACCAGCAGTCTGTGAATATTGACGATTTTAACTACATCTCTACTTCCACAGGTAACGGTTCAACACAGGTGAATGGAACATTCATATTGTACAATAGCAAATATTGCCATTTTTCAATCACACAAATCCACATGTAATCGACGGTCCTTGTGAACTGATTGAGGGAATACAATGTGAATGGGATTTGGTAAGACTGAATGAAAAAGAGAAGACATCTTGGCCCGAAGATGACCTCAAGGAGAAAATCCATCAAAAAGAAAACAGGAATCACTTATTCACAGGATCCTGGTTACTTTCTCGTCATTTGAGGACGTGCACAAGCTGCTTCTCGAGCTCACGACAAGAGTCAATACTCCCGGGATGATGTCATCAGAGTCAAATCTTAGACTTGCTCCACTGGCAATACATTGAGAGGGGATTTGTGGACATGTGATAGTGCCCAGAGGTTAGAGAAAGACATGACGTAATGTGCTCTCAAATACACTCTCAGGAGTAAACAGTATTTGTTTGTAATGTTCCAGTTTAGGAGTCCTGCTAATTGACATGGTCAGTAAGGTATAAATGTATACAAAACATTTGTCTGCTTGTGTGTCATATTTTACAATAGTATTTATTTGCAAGTGACATTTACACAGATACACAGTTCATATATCATGTAACCACAGTTCATAAACACTAGTCGATTTGTATTTATTCAGTTTCTAAAACGCATTTAACAGAGAGACAACACCAGACTATTATTCTGTCACCAAATATTTAAGTTCTTCAAAAAATGTTGCAGGCAAGTCCACAACGTTGCATGGTGGTATATATACGATTGCAGAGGTCAACAGAGAGCACACAAGGAATAAGAATGTTCTGCTGTGCAGTAGATTGTTTACAGATGAATGAGTATTTTCTAAATGAAGTGCTGCACTGCTGTAATGTGAAGCTGACTTGAAAGTACATATCCACATAAGTGTTTCCCACAAAGTTGTGACTCAACATCACATCACAACCTTGTTTCATCAATGATGGGAACTATTATTTAACAGTAACAACATGCGCATGAGACTGGACAATGAGATACAATTTTAGACTGTAGACTAGACTTAGACTATAACTAAATTAACAGATTTTTGAAGTTATCAGTTTTGACATGGCTCTGGTTGTAGTGATTTATTGTTGTTGCTATAACACACTTTACACATTGTATTATGACCCTGCACAATGGCCTATACTATATGAACAGAATCCATTGTTCAACAGGTTCTGCACAAATTAAAACAAAGAAGAAGAAGTGTTAGAAGACAGGTTGTTGACATCCAAGGCCATTAGAAATGCAAACCGACAGAAAATACTTGTGGCTGAATCAACTCTGGTGAGTCACATTCAAAGAATTACATCTGTTTGTGAATCAATCGACAGGCGTAACAGAGCTGTAAACAGCAATGGTGGCTGTACAGCCATAGCATCTGGGAGGCATTACAGCAAACAAAGAACAAAAATGAATTTATTAGCTGAATGTAAATCATAGCAAGAAACAAGTATATTGAACAATCACCACTGTCTTTGTACTAAAACACACAAATGTTATAAACTGGTGTCATGTCCTTGACAGCAGCTGGCACAGGAGTATGTGCCCTTTGGCAAAAATCGTCAAAAAGAGGGTGGCCACACATGTCTTGTGTCTGAAGTTGAGAAGCCTCATCTGGCTTGCAAATGAAAACTATCAGAAGGGAAAAAATAACAACACAAACCTTCAGTCGGTGCCCATAAATAATTATCTTTGATAAAGAAAGGCTCGAGGCCACGGTGCACTGGTACTGATTTGGTATACACATGCAATCCACATTTCAGTCCTCTCATAGCTTTAAAATTCCTTTTCTGATTCTTACGACTTGTCTAATCCGAAAGTGCGTTCTTGTATTTTAATAAGACATTTTCTTTTCTGGATTTACCTGCAAGGTGCAACATACATGATTGGGAGCATATCTGTTGGCTCTCAACAGCTTTCAACATGGTGCTGGCTCCTATAGCTAACAGTGCTAACAGTGCAAACTACGATAAAAGTGCTGACAGTACTAACAGTGCTCACTCTTACTGCCATCCCCGGCAGCACAGTGCAGAGAGGCAGCCTTGAGCTATCCAGTGGGGCATGCTCACATGCATGAACTTGTACTAAATGTCAACAAAGAATGGAGAAGCTCACAGAAGGAGAGCGACTTCAGTGTTTGCTCAGGTAGACACTACTCCCCTATATCTTAGTCATAGCAGTTATAGTTAGTTAGCAAATAGATGTTTGCTGCCATATTAATGCTCTGAATCCCGTATATTGCATCTTTAAGGAAGTACATGAAAAGACTAGGCAATCCATGGTTTGTCTATTTAGTGTAATTTGGTGGTGGTTGGGTTAATACTGTGGGTTAGTGCATTGCACTACTCCATTGTTTACCACAATATGACTGGTTGTCATTAAAAACAAAGTAAGCATATTAAAAACTATTCTTTTTAGTTTAAATGTGCATGTAATGTGCAAAACGTATGAACCCCTGTCACAATTCTATGCACTCTTGACATGTGCATTTTGGTTCATACTGTATGTACAGTAGATACACCCACACACTGACTCATCTACTTAGTCTAACGTCTTCAGTCACTACAATACAACCAAAGATATTATATGGCTTCACCAATCTTCAGTCTGATCATTTTTCAGCCATAAAGCCATTAACTATAATGGTTAAGATAATAATCTTTTACACAGCTTATTTCAGAGGAGGATTGATAGCTTTTCAGGTCATTAGACTGCGAAAGAGTGTTAACTAACAGGAAGTTCTGGCTCCATTTTGTATCCAGATTTTCCCAAATGAGACATTAGTAAAGCTCAGACTGTTAAAAGAGGGTGTGACTGATCCCTTCCAAGAAAAATACAGTAAGGGACAAATCAGTGCAGTCGGGTTGTGACAGGGCAGTGAGCCCACAATGCAAGAATTAGGTCCTCTGGAGGAAAACTTTGAAGCAGGATGGAAACATTGGCTCAAATATAATAAATGGTTTGTGTCATTTATAAGAAGTAATTATATGAATGTTATAATATTTGTCTGAAGCATAAAAGGTTGAACCAACCTTATATACATTAGGTTTTTTTCTATAGAAAAACAGAAATCAGTATACTCAGTATTTACATGTCTAATCATTAATTGCAGCAGGTTATAATGAAGCATTGGTGTGGAATGAATGCAGATATTGAATAAATATTGAAAGAAACATATTTTCTATGCCTGCGCCCATGTTATTTATGTGCCCCTTTCAGCCAGACTAAAAATTATCAATGGTGTGATACTTGCCACCTTCATCACATGATATAAATACCTCTGTTTACTTCTGAACTTGCTCTGCCCAAACTCAACGGCAGTGATAAAAAGGTGGTGTCTGCGCTTTAACACATGAAAAAAGCTCCAGTTTAATCAAACAGAATATTGTTTGCAGCTCAAGGTGAAAATGGAACCATAAACTATAAAGCTGCCCATAATAATATGGGTTCACATAACTGCAGGCTGCGAAAAAAAGTGAGGCCCATTTCATCAAGCTAATTGCTTGTTTGTGAAAGGGAGCAAACTTTTCCACCACCAGTCTATTATGGAGGCTCTTTCTTAATCATAAATAGAGCCCTTGTATCCCAGAGGGACTTGCTATTCTAATTTACAATTGAACTAAAGACCAAAACTATCAATCTTTCACAGACACTTTATTTCTGCCCCCCTTCTCTCTTGTAATTGTGGTGACATAACCATAAACAACAGAGAAAAGGCTGCTGTGACTGATCTGTGGAAATGACAGCATTAACACATGAGCTGCACATAAGCACTCCCATCCGCTGTGCACGTGATTGTGAGCACACACACATCAAGGTGGAATTAATAGTAAGGACATGCATGGAGTGACACGGTCTTGAAATTTAAATAGTGTTATCAAGACCTCTTCCTGGCATGTGAGTATTTTAAGGCTTAATAGGCTTCACTAGTCTGAATCGAAATAACGCAAAATACAAACATTTTGGATAACTGTGAAGACTCAGATACCCTAAAATAAACCTTGGTGCTATTTTCTTATAATAAGGGTCTATTAACTAATGGTCATATTTACAGTTAATATATAATACTTTATAAATAAATGATTAGACAACAGTTAGAACAAGTTGGGAACAAGTGTTTACTCTTTGTGACACAGAGATCTAATACATGATGTTACATACTTTGATGTAAATCCACTGCACAGTGTATGCAACAACGAGACCGCTTCACGTCCTCAACAAAGCACTGCCAAAGTCTCATGCTGTCAGCGTGTTGCCGAATAGAGCTTCGGACACATTCCTGCTTGCGGTGGCATTGCAGTGGCACCACCGCTGCACCGTGCCTCCGTGACGCCTTTAATGATGAGTCTTTTCGTTAATGAGTTAATGCAAAAACTCTCAATGTCATCTCAAAGATAAGAGGGGAGAAAGCGGTGCATTGTACACATAATGACAGGCTCCCTGCCTGCCCCTGAGA